TCCCAAACTCCTATCCAAGGATTTCCTTCAGGGGCAAGGCAACGTAGACTCACTTCTCCACAACAAGGCAGTGTGATGAGGTTGAAGCACACTTGATCAAGCCCCTTTGTAAGGAAGGAAATTCTTACACATTTGGGAAGAGTCCTTGTAGCCACAGATTTCTCCCTAAATCAGATTCCATGTGGTGCTTTCCCGCAGTTATCCTCTGTAAAAGGATAGTCCAGTGAAGCAGCTTCTCCACCCTTGGTCCCCCATCAATCTTTCTGGTTCTCCTGCTTCCTGGTGCAGGAGTAAGACAGTGGTTAAAATACCCCAGGAACATGTGTGTTGCAAGGAAAACAGGAGAACATTGAATGGAGGTGGCCTGTGGGTGTGTGAGTTCAATTCCTCTGAAGCAGCTGATAGAAAGAGGTTTCCCAAACAGCACAGTGAAGACGCCACCCTTCAGTGTCCTCTGGGCAGTGAGGATCCCACTCTTCGGTGTCCTCCACACAGTCATGACCATGGTAAAGGCTCCTCAATTCTCTGAGCTGATTCTGTCATGTCTGGGTCCAAGACCTTCTTGGGTAGAAATTCTCCTTCGCCGCTGAAGAAGATAATTAATTTGTGAGGATCTGTCCTATATATATAAATATATATATAAATATAATATATATATGTATATCCAGTATATATAAAATAGCCTACATTCAGCTTCTCAAAGAAAAACCAGGCATGTTCAGACACCAGATTCTTGTCTGGGTCCTTACAGAGTTGTTCAACAAAGATAACTTGAAAGCTGATCTGACCATGTGCCTTGAGCCCATCTCGACTGTGTGACAGTTCATTGCGCCATGTCCAATCTCAGTCTCTTCTGCAGGGATGAAAGGACACTCAGCTCCTCTTCTTGAATAGGACTGGAAAAGTATATCCCTTCTCCTGACAGAAAGAGAGGAGACATCTCCCCAAGGTGATGGGCGCTATCAGCTTCCTTCCCATCTCCTTCAGAGATGTCTGGTCTTCTGCTTTGCTGCTCTGTGCCACAGGAGGCTTTTAAACACAGCCCTGTTTTACATGGCAACGTTGAGGGATTGCTAGGACTTATCAGAAGCTAGTAGCACTCTTGCCTAGTGTAAGTATTATTCCTTCTCCTATGTGCTGATTTTGACTAAGTACCTTCTTCCACCTACAATCTCAAGACATCCACTCCAACATTTAATAGCTGCACATTCAACGAACAGGCTTGAAAATTTTCCACTTAGAAAGCTTAACATTTTTCCTGCCTTTCCCCCTCCCTCTGAGATGGTGATAAAATCAGGAGATGATGGGAGCTCTTCATTCATCAGCTACGGTTGCAACTCCTCCTGAAGCCGAGTGTGGGAACCGAGTCTAGGACAAAGCATGGCCCTGAGCCCGGATGTGCCTTCTCCACCTTAACAGCAGCATCTGCTTCCCAATATGGCATGTTCTGCACTATCTCAGGCACAACTTGAAGCTTTGCAGCTGTTGCCACTCTTAGCCTAGCTCTAAATCCAGCTAGGAGGAGAGGCTGGGATAGTGGGGGAGTGCAGGGCACTCATCCGGTGTGCAGGGATGGGAACAAAGCTCAAATGCATCAAAGCACAAAACCAGATCCTCACATAGGAAGGGCCAGGTAGTCGCAGAGCAGGTGAATAGGCCATAGGTACCAATAGCTCATAGTCACCTCTTTCTTACAGTCTTGCTCCAGAAAGCTATTCCCTAAGTAGAAAAGTTTTGTTGGAGGAAATGTAATCATTTGCTACCATGGGCAATAAGAATGATAGAATGAAAATCATAGAATCATGGAATCATAAAATAGTTTAGGTTAGAAGGGACCTTAAAGCTCATCCAGTTCCAACCCTCCCACTAGAGCAGCTTGCTCCAAGGCCCTGTGTCCAACCTGGCCTTGAACACTGCCAGGGATGGGGCAGCCACAGCTTCTCTGGGCACCCTGTGCCAGCGCCTCAGCACCCTTACAGGGAAGAGCTTCTGCCTAAGAGCTCATCTCAGTCTCCCCTCTGGCAGGTTAAAGCCATTCCCCTTGGCCTGTCCCTACAGGCCCTTGTCCCAAGCCCCTCTCCAGGTTTCCTGCAGCCCCTTCAGGCACTGGAGCTGCTCTAAGGTCTCCCCTTCAGGAGCCTTCTCTTCTCCAGGCTGACCCAGCCCAGCTCTCTCAGCCTGGCTCCAGAACAGAGCTGCTCCAGCCCTCACAGCATCTCCATGGCCTCCTCTGCACTCCCTCCAACAGCTCCATGTCCCTCTTGTGCTGCTGCCCCAGAGCTGGATCAGGACTGCAGGGGGGTCTCCCCAGAGCACAGCAGAGGGGCAGGATCCCCTTCCTGAGCTGCTGCTCACGCTCTGGGGGTGCAGCCCAGCACACGGGGGGGGTTCTGGGCTCAAGCGCGCACTGAAGCCGGGTCACTGGGAGCTTCTCCTCACCCAACACCCCCAAGTCCTTCTCTTCAGGGCTGCTCTCAATCCAGTCTCTGCCCAGCCTGGGCTTGTGTTTGGGATCCCCCCAACACTGATTCAGGATCTCGCACTTGTCTTTGTTGTCTTTTCAACCATAGAGCCCAAGTTCATCCACCTTGCTCAATGCTGCATCATGGCTTAGTTTCTTCTCTTGTGTTTTCCCATCATTCAGCTCCTGGAATGGAAGGAAGTCAGTGCAAGCTGATTATCCAGGCAGGGCTCATGAAGACCTTCCAATCACACTTGCTTTCCAAGCCATAAGGAAGTGAAAAGTAGATGGCAGCCCAGGCATGTGTAGTTGTGAAAGGCTGGATACCTGGATCAGAAGGCACAACAAGTCAAGGAGGATGTTCCTGAAACTGGGGGAAGAATCTGCCCCTCAATGTTAAGAAACTGAAAATAGAAGATCAATAGAATAACCAGACACAAAAGATGGGCTCAATCTTCCTGGGAAAGATCCAAGGGTGAAAAACCAATTCCAGAGAATGAGGTCAACCTTCTCTAATAACCATAGCTACTGTTTGTGCTCCACTGAGACATGCAAGTGTGGAGTTTACCTCCCCTCTATTTATGGGTTTGGCCTCTTGACCTGGAATTTAATGCCTCTCAGTTGATCCTGTCGTGTTGTGACGGGCCGTATCCGGCATGTTTATTGCATTGGCTCCAATGTTGCCTTTATCTAACGGGTAAGGGAAAAGAGCAGTCCAGGGCTGATACTAAAACCCAGCATTCATCCTCCCTATCTTTCCAATCAACTAAATTTGATGCAACTTCTCACTTTGGGTGTTTTCTGCCTTTTTGCCCAGAAAGGACCTCTAAACCCTCCTGGAGAGAACATCTGTGTGAGCCCAACAAGAGATAGCTTTTTTTTGGTACCCAATTTAGAGCAGGAAGTATTCCATCATGAGGTGGGACTTAGGGGGATTCGGGAGATTTGAGCCTGTAGAGCACTGGTCAGCAGAGAGATCTTGAAAGCTGATGTGAAAAGAGAGATCTTGAAAGCCATGTACTTTGAACCCACCTCAACAACTGGATAATTCATTATGCTTTGCCTCCTCTCATTCAGCCAAGGATGAAGGGATACTTAAATCCCTGCTCCGAGAGGGACATGAGACACACAATGACTCTCCCACCAGTAGGGAACGGCTGTGTGAGGATGGAGGAACATGTTGGGGGCTCCTCAGTGGAACCCCAGATTCTCAGTTTCCACCTCTTACTCATTGTATTCACATACTTTGGCCCAGTCCTTGGGTAGACCCTATTAACCCCTCTCCCAAATTACTGCAGTCAGAGCATCACCGAAGTGTGCAGGATCACCCTTTGTCTCCCTGTGCTGGACAGCTGATTTGGTTAAAAGCATAACACAGGCTTTGTGGCGTTTGATCCAGCACCTTCCGGTGACTGCCAGGGATGCTTCTATCTAATCCCAGTTCACATCAGGAAGATGAAAAAACAGAGGCATTTTCCTCTTGTGTCCACTGGTGATGGCTCAGTGGCATTGTGGTGGCCTTAAGCCAGTGAGTCATAGAATCATAGAATCGCAGGATGGTTTGGGTTGGAAAGGACCTTAAGATCATCCAGTTCCAACCCCCTGCCATGGGCAGGGACATCTCACACTAAACCATGTCACCCAAGGCTCTGTCCACCCTGGCCTTGAACACTGCCAGGGATGGAGCATTCACAGATTCCTTGGGCAACCCATTCCAGTGCCTCACCACCCTCACTGTAAAGAACTTCCTCCTTATATCCAGTCTAAATTTCCCCTGTTTAAGTTTGAACCTGTTACTCCTTGTCCTATCACTACAGTCCCTAACGAAGAGTCCCTCTCCAGCATCCTTGTAGCCCCCTTCGGACACTGGAAGCTGCTCTGAGGTCTCCACGCAGCCTTCTCTTCTCCAGGCAGAACAGCCCCAACTTCCTCAACCTGTCTTCATACAGGAGGTGCTCCAGCCCCCTGATCATCCTCGTGGCCTCTTCTGCACTTGTTCCAACAGTTCCATGTCCTTTTTATGTTGAGGACACCAGAACTTCACACAATACTCCAAGTGAGGTCTCGTGAGAGCAGAGCAGAGAGGCAGGATCACCTCCTTCGACCTGTTAGTCACACTTCTGATGCACCCAGGATACAGTTGGAAAGTCCTCAGCAAGGAGACCTTATTCCCACATAGACACAGGAAAATCAGCCCATGGAGGGGACAAGAAGAGGACAGCAACATCAGGTTTAGGTTACTAGAGATGCTCAGGCACAGGCACCGTGAGGAAGGCTGGAGCCCTCTTTAGCGTTTCCAGCACTTCATAAATTTCAGAGAGATTCAGGGCAAGAAGCCAGATGTTTGGGGAGAAATTCTGAGCACTGAAGACAAGTGGAAATATTTCTTTCTCTTTTTTTTTTTTTTTTTAGTAGTGTGTATTTTTTCCCATTAGTTGCACGGCTATATTTAGAAGAGAGGGGGGAAGAGAGAGAGCACGAGAGAGAGATTAGGCATTTCTTCATATTCTTGTAGTCACTCCAGTTGTTCTGCTTGTAGGAGCAGATGTCTCTGTCCTGGGGTGATAGCATTCAGGTCCACAAGGAGATTTTCTTCCCTGCAGCTCCTCTAACATAGAAAGGAGATCGAGCCAGAGGTAAGTCCGTCTACTGTGGAAGAATACACTGCAGGGACCATTGCAGTGAATGCTCTGGGATAGTGGTCAGAGAGAAAAGGGGGGATTGGAAATGTGTCAGCAGGGGACCAGGAGGGAATTGCTGGAGACTGGACCCTAAATCCATAGTGGAAAGCATGGCTACTGCAGCAGGGAGAATTGGAAGGGGTGGCAGTGGATACGGTTCTGTGCTGAACCTGTGGATGTGCACTTTGGGAAGCTCCCGGCTCTGCCCATGGGGCTGGTATACCATCAGGAGGTATCCAACCTGGAGAGCCAGGCTGTGTCGGTGACTGTGAGGGGTTGCAAGGGGCTTCTCCTTCTGTGAGCTTCTCTGCTCTTGGGTTTTGGGCAGTGCTGTGATATTTGGAGATGGGGTGTGATAAAAAGTGTGTTAAAGAACTGGCTTTCCTTCACTGAAGTACTCTGTCAGCTCTTGTGAGGAGTGGGATGATGTCTTGTTTCTATCTGTGTATTCCAAGACATAATTCAATTTGAGGGAAATGCGTTCATGAAGGTTTTGGGAGCCAGGAGAGGAGATGGTGCACTGGAGTCATCTGTACCTGGGGATGTTTTACCTCTCTTCAGACGTGCAGCAGGATGTGAGCTCAGCAGTAGGAAAGATGCTGTTTTCTTTCTCTGAACCTGCTAGCTGGGTCAGCCTAAGGAGAAGCAGATCCTTTCCAAGGTCCTTACCCAGGTCGGTTCAGGAATGCTCCCTGCTTTCACAGCAATGCACTTACCAACAGCTCCAAGTGTTTCCAGGTTAACCTGGCTAATCCAGGATCTGCAAAACCCTGCAGGCACTGTGGCCTCTGTCTGCACAGCACAGTGTCATAGGTGAAGAGCAAAGGAAACCACAGAAACCAGCCTCCCAAAGGGTTAAGATCTGCTCGTCCATCCTGGGATACCTCAAAAAATGCCTGTTCCCTGCCCAGGTCTCCCATCGTGCTGCATTCCCTGGGCCAAGCCCACACATGGCTCCCGCCGTGCCTCAGTTTCTCCCTGCAGATGGGAGAGCAGCACAGCTTGAAATGAGTGCTGGGCTGCCGAGCTGCACCCATGGGGGGCTGGTTTGTGCTTATGATGTATGATGTGACCCTTCTACCTGCTGCATCATCCCTTCATCCCTACCTGCATCTGTGTCACTGTGCTTCCTGGGGTATGAGCATTGCTTCTGCTTTCCTGCATCCCTGCGTCATGCAGGTATTCCTCAACAGCAAACCTTTGTTGCTGCTCCTTCCCCATTGTCCTTCTCGGATTTCTTGACAACAAGAGAGCAAAAGCAGGCAGCTGAAGGCAGAAAGAGGGAAAAGTGCTCAAAGACGGCTAAATTTGCAATTAAATTCTCCTTTTCAAAAGCTAGCAGCAATGCACGGGCTGGATATTGCCCAGTTTAATCTCCTGTGATGTCTTTACACTGTGAAGTTCCTGTATGTGCCTATATGGTAATTTTCATTGCAGCCATGATAGCTGTTCTTCTAAACCAACACTTGTAGCGCGTTGTCCCTGGCACCCTTGAAATGCCAGATGGATTACTGTAATCCCAATAAAATCAAACGCATTTCTCTCATACTGTTACAGCCTCCCAAGCAGACAGGCACAAATCCATCTCTACTGGCTGGAGCTATAGAACTCCAAACTCACATTTCTTTCCAGATCTAGTTTTAAAGACATATTAAATCCTCTTGGAAGAAAATACCCCCTCCAAAAAGAAGATATTCCTTCTCCTCACATTATACTGGTCCCCAGTGATAGAGAGGGATACATGCAGGAAGTGATGCCCTCAATTCTCTTGAAGCATCAGAGATAGAAATATACAGCATCTACCACCACAGAGATGTCACTCCATGCTCTCTTGTGACTGATGGCACTTGGTCCAGGCTATGAGATATTGGTCATTTTAATGCTAACAGCTTGACTTACAGAGCATTCACTAAGACAGTATTTCTGTCACTCCAAGGCCAAGATCTGGTGTTGCAGAAAAGAGGACATGAAAAATGCAAAGGTATCAGCTGTAGACATCTAAAAGTTTCAGGAGGGACTTTTCTACACAGTGTGGCATAAACTAGCAAAAGGAGGTGTAAACCCTTTATTAGCACTTGAAGGTGACAAGTGCTAGTGAGCCTCATTACAGATGTGCAGAAGGACCTCTGGGTGCCACCACTGGGCGCACATTTGCAGGTCTGGAAGGGCAATGTATGTACAATCCCACTTCTTTGCTCATACATGTAAATCTGAACTCCTTTTCTCAAGGGATGACACATTATTGCTGTAAATGGGCATAGAGGAGGTATAAATCCATAAGAAATCTGCCAGCACATGAGTTTCCTGTTCGGTGTATCTTTGGGAGCTTCATTCCATATTTTGCATGCATGCTCAGGACAGGGCTGGGGGAGGACCATGCAGATCTTTCCAAGTTTTAAATAGGTTGTCCCTGGGGTGTCCAGCACTGATCTGTCTCCTGGTTTTAAGCAGCAGGTTCAAGCCTGGATGAGGAGAATGAGCATCTGGGCCAAGCTGAGTGGCCTCCTTCCCATCTGGGTCACTTTGTTCTGTGAAAATGAGGAATGCAGTTTGGAGACTTAGCGCTCTCCCTCTTCTAACTGGCAGTGATCCCTCATGGCTTAGCATGACCTGCTGGACTAAATCACTGCCTGGGCACCCACAGGTTATTGCTTGTCCAAAGTGAATCAGAGGACCTGATTTTGGCCTGAGGATTGCAGGGGAGCGTGGGGTTCATCCACGTGCACATGCACCATTGAACACAGAACACAGCATGATGGGTGGAATTCAAATCACAACTCACTGCAATATCCATCACCCATCCACAGCGGGTCCTCGGAGATGAAGGAACACATGTAGGTTAACTGGGCATATCAGGCAGGAGGCAAACAGCTCAATAGCACATCAACAACATCAGCCCAAGAACCAACATTACATTAACTTTCACACATCCTTAGTCTGAGGCTGGTTACATGACTTGAAGTACAACCCATTGCTATGCCTAGGACTGAACATCCAAGTTTTAACTCTGGCCAGATGATAAATAATGATTCTCACGGGTGACATTAGAGCCAATAAGGGAGTTAATCCCTTTTGTTGCGGGCAAAGTTCACACTTTCTCCTTTCAGACAAAGGCCACGAGAGAGCAGGAGCTGCTGACCATCACGCTCTTCATTAGACATGGGCAAGCATGCCACGGCTGGTCAGTGCAGACACTAAGTAATAAACTATCATCTGTCCCCAGTCAGGCTGGTTCTGCCATAGGGAAGATATGACTCAGTGTAAACCTGAAATTACTTCATTTCAGGATAACACAAGAAGCAACACTCTCTCTTTGCAAATCCAGCCCTGTTTGCTGTGTTTAAATGCCAAAGAAACTGTGAATTTGCAGTGAATAAAACCTAAATGAAAGGCTGTGTGGTGGAGAACGCTAGCATCTCCTTGCAGGTTCATATTAGAGGAAATGAGGATCACTCTCAGTTCCTATTAGTGTGTTTGTCAGTTCTGATTTCCTCCATCCTCCTAATGTTTTTCGTGTTGGCTAATTTCAGCCAAGCTTTGGCAGAAGGGAAAGATCACCTCCATTTGCAGGAAATTAGGCAGCAAAGTAAGGAGAAAGTCAAACAAGTGTCAGAGCCAAGAGCTGGAACGTGAGTGCTCATCCAGGCAGCCAAGTGTCCACAGGGGAAACAGTTATAATAAGCAACTCAAGCAGGGCAAAGCATTCATCCAGCCCTGCAAGCCACTGCAAGGCATGAGACCGTAAGAAAGCAGGTGTCACTGAATGTGACACTCACAGAATTATGTGGTTTGTGTCCCTAAAGCACCTTCCATTTCCATGGCATTGAAGGAGAAGGAATAATCCAGGTCTGGATAGGGTTTGACTATTTCCAACTGCATTTCCCAAGCAGCTGGGTGTTTAATACACTCCATCTGGCCACCCTTAGACCTAGGGGATTCTAGGAGACATCAGTGCCCAGGAATCAAGTGAGAGCAAAGATCTGATGTGTGCAAATATGGGATCTTCGCTGGGAACAGCCCCATTTCTGCTTCAGGACGTAATCTTTCTCCCCTGGACCTCACCTCCTTTCTCACAGCCTGAGGGCTAGATAGGCACCAGCTTTTCCCTTTCAGCAGCTGGATTCATTCCCTTTATCTCCCTTTCTTACTGTCAGCAAGCCCACCCTCCCCTGGCTGATCATGAGGCCCACAGAACAAGCTTTACCACGTATAGGGCAAGGTCTTCAACATGCACAAAAACACCATATTTGGCCAGTTTGAGCCAGAGTTGAGTGAGAGCTTGCCAGGAGAATCATACAATTTAAACTGAAAGAGAGGGACTTTAACCCTTCATATATAAATACAATGATAAATCACCCAGGGAACTTTAAACATGGAAAGGCTGCAAAACTAAACACGTTCTGCTGCCATCCCAGGCTGCAGAGTTAACACTAGCAGAGTGAGGGGGACGGGGGATGATAGGGGAGGCAAGTTGCTGTATGAGATGTTCTGATTCAGGGAGATGAGAAAAGCTGAAGTCGTTCATACTATATAACACTTGCTCATGTCCTTTTCATCTTGCTAATGTCCTTTTCATCTTCCCAATCCCAGTGCATGGCTCTTGTTCTCTGTCTCTGGGTCTGCACACAGAGATCCTATCTGCACACACCAATAAATAACCCTTTTGGCGAGCAGATAGGACAAATCTCAGTTTGCCTTTCCTTTTGTATCCCATTACTTAAACTGCTGAGCCAGAGCCAAAAGTCCCCTGGGTCAAGGAAGTGAACCCTGGTAACTTCAGCAAGGGTGAGGCTTAAGGCTGACAGCAAGCAAAATGCTGGGTGGAATGAAACACAGGATGGTCAAGGATGTCCTCCTGGGGCAGATGTCCATGCCAAATGAACAAGTGTGAAGCCAAGCAGCAAGAGAGCAAGGGAAGAGTCTGCAGGACCTGTTTCAGCACAGAGACCATCTGT